GAGGTGACTTGATAGCCACCTACAAGTATGTTACAGGTGAACATCAAGATCTAGGAGAGGAACTCTTCAGAAAGGCACCCTTCAGGAGAATGAGATCCAATGGGCACAAGCTAGTTGGGGAAAAATTTAGGCTAGACATAAGGAAAAACTTATTTTCCATAAGGGTAACTAGAATCTGAAACACACTCCCAGTAGAGGTGGTGCGGTCACAATCCCTGGAGGTGTTCAAGAGGAGATGGACAAGCACCTTGTGGACTTCATTTGAACCCAATTACCTCCTGCCTATGGCAGGGGACCAGACTCGATGATGTTACAGGCCTCTTCCAGTTCTTCTATAACCATATGAATCTATGATTCTATAACCATAAAGTATTTAACTGTACTTTTATACTATATATAATTTTATTGTCAGTTTTTTCTGTTGTTTTTTTTTAAGCTGTAAATAAATTGAAATGAAAGAAGTAAATAAGACTTGGGATGCAAATTAAGACAAAGGTGTCATTTTGATAACATCCTCTCTGTATTTCTTTTTCTTAATACCTGAAGATATGAAATTTCTGTTTGGTATTATTCAGAATCATCCAATATTAACACCATCATTTTGGGGCTGCAGTTTATTTCCACCCACAAGTGTATTTTGGATAAATACAGTCCTTATATAAGTACTGCATTAAGAGTAATGCATACCAGTTAATGGTGATTCTCAGCGCCTTGTTACATATCAATTTTAGATGGCTTCTGGAGCTCTTAACTCCTGGATTGTCCACATATTTGTCAATCAGTGGTGGGTGCTACATGACTTGTGCCCTTTCTGACATGTCTTTTCTTCTGCTATAACAGGTAAGGGGTTACCATCACCCTTACCCTTCCCTGTTGATAAAAAAACTCTCCTGCCATGACTTTGATGTTAAGTATTCTGGTTCTTATTTATTACAGGGTTATGTACACATTCCCCAATGAGAGGAAGTTTACCATGACACAGGGCAAAAAAGATTTTTACTGATGTGAAAAATACCCTAAGGAAAAAAATGAGGCTCCACCATCCCCTGCATTCCAGCCTCATGCCACATGACACACAGGATTCCTTTCAGAGTGTTAATGTAAAAATGAAACAGTCCAAAAAACACTAAGCACACAAAATAAAGTCATGTTTTAACTGTTGCCTATGGCTCTTCTTATGTTTAAACTTATATTCCTATTTTTTCCAGCATCCCAATCATCACCACTGGGCTGCCACTCCTTCTGGCTACCCTCTGGTGTGTTTCTTACCCAATTGTGGTGTGTCTCTTACCCAACCGCTAGCCTCAATTGTAGCCCACAGGATCCCTCCTTCATCCCTGTGCTCCCTGGGACTCTTCCACAACCTGCTTCCCAACTGTTCTTCTCCCTCCTCCTCTCCAGGGTGTGTCCACTCCCTCTTCTCCCTCCTGGGCTCTGGCATTTGTTGTTTTCTCCTGGTCATGCCTCCTGGGCATTCCCTCCCTCACCACTCTCCCTGGTGTCTCTCCCCAACTCAGTGCTGTTCCAGCTCAGGGGTGCTGGCTTTATTCCCCAGCTAAGGGCTCTTCTCACATCACTCCTCGGCTCAAGGCTTCTCTCAGCTGAGTTCTTTAGCTTGGGGCTGCTCTCAGCCAAGCTCTGCTGGCTCCTCTGGAGTTGGCATTCACTCCAGGACAGCCCCCTCCTGTCTCCTGGCATTTCCTGGCAAGCTGAGAGGAGGCTGGTTT